CGGGGAATAAACGTTATAAAAAAATAATAATAATTCTTAAAGGTACATCGTAAAGAATTAGTAAAATAGTAAATCGTTATTTTTTTTTTTTTTTATTAAACCTTATCCATTTCAATTCTATAAATTAAAGTAATGTTACGTAGCGGAACAATTACACGCAAGGGTCCATACGGTAAAAACATACTAAAATTTGCTTTCTCGTAAGTCGTGATTGAACAAAGATCTTTTGTAAAATTAATTTTTTCATGTTATATTGAACGCGATGAACGCGACTAACACCAGCATTCAATTAAATAAAACATTAAGGAAATTAACATTTATCTTTATGATACGTATGTGTATATATAAGTGTGTGTGTGTGTACATATAGATTCTATTACATTGTATTTGTTCAAAGCGCATATTTTAATGCGCTTTCCTCGACATGATCTATGTGTATTATTTCAAAGTGGTAACATAATATGACGATTACACCAACGCCAAACCGATATGTATACGAAACGATATTTATGGTATTTATGCGCGGCGGAAAATATGTACAACGATTCGTATCGCAATTGCGAGTGATTATTTATCGTTCAAACAATACATCTATACATGTCTTTATGCTGCAGGATGAGCAATTCGTAATACGAGTAGGTATAGATAGATGCAAATATAACGTATATGCGAGTGTGTGTATGCATGAGAGAACGAAAACGAAATAAAAATAGTGTCGATATTTAAAAAAAAAAAAAAAAAAAAAAAAAATGAACGATCATCTTTAAATCGAAAACCATTATATTTGTTGTAGGCGTATTTATTGAGCACGTATTTACAAAACAAAATATTCACTGGTATATCATAATATGATACGTGCGTAAGTACAATTGTATTTATGAAGAACTAATCTAAAAACACAAAAACCGGTTCTCGGACATGATTGAGCTATCAGAGACGAAAAATAATAATAATAACGGTAACGAAAACCCTTCGCGCGACGCGTTCTAACCGTGGCCAATCGTCCCTCTAAACGGCGCGCCAGGTCCGCACGTAATAATATGCCTAATGTACACGTATTAATATTACCGTACGGTACGCGCACGACATCGCATGCATACGATTTCGATAACGCAAAAAAAGGGTTGAAAACGGTTGTGTTTTTTTTTTTTTTTTTTTTTTTCCAAGACCGATGTTAACGAGACCAAAACGAATTTACCTTTCGTACCCTTCCTCCGGAGGCGCGTGCGCTCTGGTGCTAGTGCCCGGAAAACATAGTGCCCGCGGACCGGCAACAACCGGTGGGAGTCGGACGACGGTCGAAACGATTTGTCGCAGATCACAGCACAAGGAATCGGAAAAATTTTGAAAAATTCGAAAAAAAAAACTATGGCTCGCACGACGCGGACCGCATTTTTTTTTTTTTTTTTTT